AATATTTTATTATTTTTATTTTATGTGTATGAGTGTTTTGCCTGCTTGTATGTAAGTGCACCACACACGTGCAATGCCTGCAGAGGGAGAAGACTGTGTCAGATCTCCTGGAACTGGAGTTATAGCTGTCAGCCACCATGTGTGTGTGCTGGGAATCAAACCTGGGCCTCTGGAAGAACAGCAAGTGCTCTTAACCACAGAACCATCTCTGTAGGCCCTCTTTTTCAATTTTTATTACATGGGTTACCTAAGACAATTTCATGCAAATATGTAATGTACTTTGACTATATTTTCCCCATTCCTGCTGCCCATTTTTCTCACCTCTGCCTACTCTGAGACAGTCTTATTTTCATGTCATAAGTACATATATGAGCTTGTGCACCTATATAAAATCTAAGACCCACAAAAGAGAAAACGCAATATTTAGTTTCCAAAGACTGACTTAATTTGCTTAATATGATTGTCTCCAGTTGAATCCATTTTGTAAACGATATAACTTCAATCTCCTTTATATACAAACCTCATTTTATCTATCCATTGCTCTGTTGACAGGCACCTTGGTTGGCTCCATAGCTTATCTATTGTGATCTGTGCTGCAGTGAACACTGGTGTGCAAGTATCTCTGTGATATGTTGACTTGGAATCTTTGGGGCAAATACCCAAGAGTGATGTAACTGGATGAGTTTATTTTTTTGAGGAAACTCCATGCTGATTTCCGTAGTGATTGGACTAATTTATATTCCTACCTGAAGTGTTTAGGGGTTCCTTTTTCCCTACATCTTCTCCAGTATTTGTTATTGTTTTCTTAATGATTGCCATTTTGACTGGGGTGAGATAAACTCTCAGTGTAGTTTTAATTCGCATTTCTCTGATGATTGGTGATGCTGAACATTTTTTCATGTTTATTGGGTAATTTATTGAAAACCCTCTGCTCATTTCGTTAGTCCATTTATTGATTGGGTTGTCTGATTTATTATTTAGTTTTTTGAGTTCTTTGAATATTCTGGGTATTAACCCTTTGTCAGATGTACAGCTTTCGCTCCCATTCTGTGGGCAGGCTCTTCCTCCAGTTGTTTCTTTTGCTATGCAGGAGCTTTTTAATTTCATGACATTTCTTTTGTCAGTGGTTAACATTATTTGATGAGTGCTTGGAAAGTCCTTGTCGGGCCAGTGAGATGGTTCAGTGGGGAAAGGTGTGTGCTGCTGAACCTGAGGACCTGAGTCCTACTCCCTAG